TGAGTGTGGGCGTGTGGGGGTCCTTTAAAACCCGTTTTATCCCCCCCCCCCGCCTTCGCCCCCTCTGCAGCCCCCGAGGCACCTCAGCCCCACGGCCAGACGGGGTGGGGGGCACTGGCCTGGCAGGAGGGGTTGGGATGTGCCCATCCCACAGGGATACCCACTGTGGTATGGGGGTAGTGTGCACTGGGTGGCCCTGGGGTCAGCAGCACCCCGGGGTGCTGCAGTGGGAGTCCTCTCCGGGCTGCGCTCACCTTTTTGGGTTCACTGAGGTTGGCGATGTGGAGGGTGTAGACCCCGCTGGCATGGATGCCCGCCCGGTGCACCTCGGCGCAGTCCTGGAAGAGCTGCTCCTGCCCGGGCAGCGGGGCTGCGGCAGAGGGGACGGCAAGACATTAGAAACCCCACCGGTGCCGCAGCCCTGCCTGGTTTTGTTGCTCTTCCCCGCTCCCTTTGGATGCTTTTGTGCCCACGGATTCTTTTTCTTTCTTCTGTGTCGTCTCCCTGGGGCTGGGTGAGGCAGCGGCTGCGATGCACTGGGGCTGCCGCCAGCCTAAGCCCGGGGATTTGCCGTGGCTGGAGACAGAGTCGGGACATGGACCCTCCCCTGGGGGCTCGGAGCTGCTCCTCGGATGCCATCCAGGGCTCATTTTCGGGGCAAAGTCACCCACGCCTGAGCTGAGCCCAGGGGCCCTGCACCTTCATGGGGGGGGGCAAGGAGCTCTCCCGCTGCCTGCACCCTGCCTGCGCACCCCGGCTCACCTCTGCCCTGGGAGACGAGGCGCACCAGGCTCTGCACTGACTCGAGGAGCTGGAGCTGCTGGCGCTGGAGCAGGCTGGTGTTGGCGCTGGCGGCCAGCAGCGACTTCTCCAGCTCCTCGATGGTGCCGCTCTGCCGGCTTACCAGGCGCTGCAACTTCTCCTTCTCCAAGCGGGCCCCCGCCAGCTCCGCCTGGTGCTTCGTCTCCATCTCCAGCACCCGCACCTCCAGGATGCTGAAAGGGGGAGGCAGCGGTGACGGGGGGGCTGTGCCTGTGCCGAGCAGCCGGGCAGGGAGCGGGCGGCAGAGTGGACCCAGCCCCGGCTGCGGTGCCCCAGCACATCTGCAGGGACGCAGAGCTGTCCCCGTCCCCTGCCGCACCCACCGAATCGCACCCCGCCTGGCACCTCCGGGACGTGCTTAGCTCGGGGGAATCAAAGCCCAAGGGGCTGTGCCGGGGCTGTGCAATCCCCCAGGGACCCCAGCCAGGCCCTGGAGGGATTCAAGCCCCCCCAAAGTGCAGCTGTGCTCCTGGGGCGGGAGAGACAAGCCTTCCCCCGGGGTCCGGGGACTGTGGGGGTCCCCAGGTCGCCCCAGGCCCTACTTGTTCCTGTTCTGCAGCTTATGGATCTCGTTCGTCTGCAGCAGCAGCTGCTTCTCCAGCTTGGTGGTGGACAGGGAGTTCTCCTGCAGCTGCATCTCGATGCGTGACGTCTGGTTCAGCACCTGCCCCGGGAGCGGAGGGGAGCGTCGGTGTGAGCAGCCAGGGCCACGCCACGTTCCTCAGTGTCACCGCGCTCACGGCTCCCCGGCACACAACCCCGGTACCTCTGCACACTGGTGCATTAAACCATGCATCACCTCGGGGAATCGCCCCACTTTTAGCAACAGAGAAACCATGTCGCCCACCATGGTCCCGGGGGTGGTGGGGACATTACGGCACACGTGCCGTGAGCCCCGGCCACCTCCTACCTGGGCCTCCACATCAGTGAGCTTGCGGCTCTGCTCAGCGCTTTGGTTGAGGAGGGTGCTGCCGATCTCCAGCATGGTGGCGGTCTGGTTCTGCACCGCTGTCTGCCGCAGCTGCGCCATCTCCGGCTTCATGCTCGTCTGGATGTAGCTCTCCAGCTGCGGAGGGGAGCCGGGACACATCGGGTCATCTGGGGAGCTCGCCGGGTCCTCCCACGGCGCCCTGGCTGAGCCTGGCAGCGCTCGGCACAGCCCCCAGGCACATCCCTGGGAGTGTTTCAGCATGGCACGACCCATCTTGGGGCCCTTTGAAGCTTATCGGGAGGACAGAGCGAGCTGCCCGCAGGCTGCGCTGCTGCGGGGGAGCCCCCTCAGGCACCAGCTGCCAAGATTCCTGGGCTGCAGTGCCAGCTGCTTTCTTCTCGCCAGGACCCGGCACCGGCTTGTGTGCTCCCAGGTCTGCTGGCACGCTGGGGCTGCTGCCCGGCTGGGGTGGCCTGTGCCGAGCAGCTGGGCAGGGAGCAGCCAGCGTCAGCATCGGCCT